ATCATGCTACCTGCGACGTATTCTCGTGATGAGATACCGGCAGAAAGGTGGCTGATACCGAAGCGAGAAACAGCTCGAAACTGGAGGCATCTGGCTCATCTGGAGGAAGAACTGCCCCCATACTTCCCTGAAGCTGAAATTGGCCTGCTCATAGGTGTGAACTGCGCACGCGCATTGAAGCCGAAAGAGGTGGTTTCAGTTGACAGTGACGATCCCTGGGCAATGAGAACGGAGCTGGGGTGGACCATCGTGGGTATTACGCACGGGCCCAACATCACTTCGACGTGTCACTGTGCGCGCGTAGGGCCAGATGAAGTGTCGGTATGCCACTTTGCGTTCAAGACGCGTGTGCAGGAAGTGAGCCCGATGCAAGTGGCACGCATGCTGGAAGCGGACTTTCTGGATGAAGGCGCTCACAAGAAGGTCTCTCAGGACGACCGGAAGTTCCAGAAGGTGATGAAGGAACAGTTCCACCAGCGGGAGGATGGTCATGTTGAGGGACCACTGCCTCTGAAGGATCCTGAAGTGACATTTCCAGACAACAGGGACCTGGCCATAAAACGTCTACACAGTCTGAAGAGAAGGTTTGCCCGAGATCCTGGTCTGAAGGACGCCTACGAGAACTCCATGAACGAGTCGCTCGCAGCAGGATACACTGAATGTGTCCCAGACGACGACGACGTCAAAGAGGGAAAGACCTGGTACGTTCCCCATCACGCTGTCGTTCATCCGAGAAAGGACAAGATACGTGTAGTTTATGACTGCAGCGCGGAATATCAAGGTGCTTCATTGAACAACGAGCTGCTCCAGGGCCCGGACTACGTGAACAGTCTGGCAGGAATCCTGGTGAGATTTCGGAAAGAAAGAGTGGCTCTGAGCTGCGACATCAAGGCGATGTTTAACCAGGTTGGTGTCAGCAAGGAGCACAGGAATCTGTTGAGATTTCTGTGTTGGGAACAGGGCGACACGAGTCGAGAGCCGGCTGAGTTCAGGGTCACCACTCATCTGTTTGGTGCGGTGTCATCGCCTGCGTGCGCGATGTACGCGCTGAACATGATAGCAGAAAAGTATGAACCGACACACGGAAGAGAAGCGTCCGAGTTTGTACGTAGAAACTTCTACGTTGATGACGGCGTCACAAGCGTGGAAAGCTCGGATGCTGCTATACGGCTGGCCCGTGACACTGTCCAGCTGTGTGCAGAAGGCGGTTTCACGCTTCACAAGTTTGTGTCGAACGAACCGTCGGTGCTAAAAGCACTGTCGCCTGGTGCCACTGGATGCGACCCATCGGTGGAAGTCGGTCGCCAGCACTCAGGTCAGTTCGAGCAGGCCCTGGGTATCAAGTGGGATACGGTGAAAGACACGCTGAGCTTTCACGCTGTGATTCCGGACAAGCCGATGACGAGAAGAGGGATTTTATCATCAGTTTCTTCGCTGTATGATCCACTGGGTCTCGTCTCCCCAGTGATCTTGGAGGGAAAGAGAATCATCAAGCAGTTGTGCTGCGACGGATACAGCTGGGATGAAGCTGTCCCAGAAGAGACGGTGGCCCGTTGGTTGGATTGGAAGAGAGACGTGCTCCTTCTCTCAGAGACACCGATACCAAGATGCTACAAACCTGGCGGCGGCAAGATGAAGCTGTACGAACTGCATCATTTTTCTGACGCCAGTACCGTCGGATACGGGCAGTGCTCCTATCTCCGTATGAAAGACGAACACGACCTGATTGCGACGTGTCTTGTGATGAGCAAGTCAAAGGTGACTCCCAAGCGATCGACTACAATTCCTCGACTGGAGCTGATGGCGGCCGCTCTCTCCGTGAGAGTTGGATGCTTTCTGCAAGAGGAGCTCGACATCACAGGCATCGAGCACTACTACTGGACGGACAGTCAGGTCGTTCTAGGATATATACACAACGAAACCCGGCGATTTCACGTGTTTGTCGCGAACCGCGTGCAGCAGATCCGACAACACACCACTCCCGATCAGTGGAGATATGTACAGTCAGATGAAAACCCAGCAGATCTGGCCTCCCGTGGACTGCAGGCAGCGGCCATCAAGGACTGTGATCTCTGGTGGCGTGGACCGAAGTTTCTTCAAGCAGGAGAACTTCCGAATGAAGCAGCTCAGATTGAACTCCAAGATGACGACCCGGAGGTCAAGAAGAAAACAGTTCTGACTACGCGCTCCAAACAGGTCGAAGGTTTTCCAAACATGTCTGACCGGCTAGTCGTGTTCTCTAGCTGGTTCAGGGCAAGACGAGCGATCGCGATCTGTATCAGATACGGGAGACGTCTGCTGGAGCGAGTGAGACAAAAACGTCAAAGCAGTGACGCTGAACTTGTTCCATCGTTGACAGAATCACCAGTTGGAGCAGAAGAGATGAAGAGAGCTGAGCTCGTCATACTGAAGAGTGTGCAGCAGCAGATGTTTGGGGACGAAGTTGCGACTCTGACGATACCTCAGCCCTCAACTGAAGTTCGAGTGAAGAAACGGAGTCATCTGTACCGACTGGATCCCTTCGTTGCAGATGACGGACTCCTGCGCGTCGGAGGAAGGCTGAAGAGGAGTGGACAGCCCTTCGACGTGGTACATCCAGTGATCTTGCCAAAGGTTCATCACGTGACTCGTCTTGTCGTCGCAGCCTACCACGAGAGGACGTGTCACTCAGGAAGGGAGCTGACGCTGAGCGAAATCCGGATGTCTGGATACTGGATTGTGAAAGGAAGATCGGCTGTGGGCCGTCACATCAAGAACTGCATCAAGTGCAGAAGGCTGAGAGGAACGCCTTGCAGTCAGAAAATGGCAGATCTTCTCAGCGAGCGTGTAGACGAAGCGGAGCCATTCACCCACTCAGGTGTTGACTGCTTCGGACCGTTCTTCGTCAGAGACCGGCGCAGTGAAGTCAAACGATGGGGGATCCTATTCACATGTCTAAGTTCACGGGCTATTCATCTATGTAGAGACCCTCAACTCAATGACGGCGGATGCTTTTATCAATGCCTACCGCCGATTCACCTGCCGAAGAGGAAAGGTTCGAGCTCTGTATCACGACCGAGGTACGAACTTCATCGGAGGAAGAGGACATCTAGAAGCTGCTTTGTCTGAGATGGACCACGACAACATCCGACGCACTCTGTTAAAGGACAACTGTGATTGGGCACAGTTCAACCCCATCACACCCAAGGCCAGCCACATGGGAGGTGCGTGGGAGCGGCAGATACGCACCGTCCGCTCTGCGCTGAGCAGTCTCCTTCAAGATCTCGGTCAGCAGCTGGATGACGAGCTGCTCAGAACTCTACTGACGGAAGCGGAAGCAGTAGTCAATAGTCGCCCTCTCTCTTGTGTCAGTATGAATGACACTAGTGTAGTTGAGCCGATCACTCCCGATCAGCTGCTTACCTTAAAGTCAAAGGTAGTGCTCCCTCTCCCTGGGAAGTTCTGCCGGCCCGACATCTACGGGAGACAGCGCTGGCGCCGGGTCCAGTACCTCGCCAATCAGTTTTGGCAGCGCTGGCGGAGAGAGTTCCTTCCGTCTCTCCAGGAGCGACGAAAGTGGCATCATCCAGAGCCGAACATCAGTCAGGACGACATCGTCATTGTCGTCGACGAGGACACTCCACGCAACAGGTGGCCGCTCGCACGAGTGGTCGACGCGCACACAGGTGCCGACGGTCTAGTGAGGAGTGTGCGTGTGCGCATTGGCAACAGTGAATATGACAGACCCGTCCACAAACTGATTCTCCTCGTGAAGAGCGGGGATGGAGATTCCGCGACGGGGAGCCGTTGTGCTGAGTAGCGTGATTTGGTCGGAGCGCGACCGATAAGACCGAGACGCTTGCGAGCGATGATACCCGGTCTGAACTTTGGTGCATTGTGCTCCGCTGTGCGGATGGCAGTACGACGGCGCCCGTGTTTCATATTGCTATGTCAGAAGTGATATTTCGTTACTTTCTCGCTCGACGTGTACGGCGTTACGTGGGCTCGCCTGTGTCTACTGACGAACATTCGGTTGTTCGCGCGTCCCGTCGCAATGTGACGTTGCCGCGCGACGGCGGCCCATAGCCGCCTCAGTGCGTAAGGAAAATTAGGAGAGCTGTGCCTAATTTTGGGGAGCCATGTTCCCGCCGTTACGGGTTGTTTAGGTTTTGTTATGCAAGAGCCTGAGTGAGGGCTGCTTTGTCTAAACGACTGCATTTGCTATTTTCAGGTGACCGCCCCAGACGATTTGTCATGATATGTGACGCATGTTGAACGGCATCAGAGCTGTCCTGATCGGGGCGCAGTGAAGTACGGATCGCTGAACAGTGATTGCCACTTGGACCGATACTGAAGCCGAAATATTATTGCTGGCTATACTGACGGTGCAGTTGGCTGTATCACCATACTGAGTCACTGACATTTGTACTAAAGTCGCCTATCGTCCCGGACGAAGTGAGTAGCCATACACTGACACAAATCGTGTAATGCTTATTCGCTCTGTCATAAATGCATATTCGTTTGTCTCACAGTGCCAGCTGGCTACCTATCTGAAATTGTCTCTTGCGGACTGATTAAGAAATAATTTTCGTTGTTAAATTGTCAGTTTATTGGGTATGTGCAGCTCACGTGTTGTTGTGGCTGTTCCCCCCAGTGACCTTGGGCGAATCGTAAGCTGCATTGAGTTAATTGTCTTTTGTATGTGTTTTCACAGTTTTCTACGGTCATCACGGTCCACACTGATCGCTGCAAGGTGTCACTACTGAATGATCCCAATACATACTGACCGACTAACACTTTGTAGTAAAAACCGGTGGCCAGATCACCCACTTTACGGTATCCGCGAAAAACCTCAGGGGGGGGGGGGCGGATATCCGCCCCCCCCCGTCGGTGCGCGGGTTAAACTACTAGACGGATTCACAAAATTTAAAACTGCGTTCGATAATCCCTATCGAATTTGTTGAGGAAAATTTAATTTCATTTACCTCGGCGTCACCAATGACGTCACAGGTCATGTCAAAGATAAAATGTTTTACGGTTAACGGGTCTTCTAATGTCCTTTTTAGTGCAGCATACGCAAGCACCTGCACGCCCTTGACCAGTAGCGGTCGGTGGTAGACTATTCGTTTCTAATTTTTCGTGTAAAGGACGACCTGAAGACTGCAGTTAAGCATCGGGTTTGGACTGAGGCCGGGTACTCATTATGCTCGCATACAGTATGAAGAAGCCTGCAGCGGCCCGGAGCAAATAAAACGGTCTTCTCGGAAGGCCTTTGCATTCCGACCCCACATAGCAATGTCCCCATGCTTTCAGTCGAAATGGAAAGCCTTTAAGAATGGATCCAGCTCCGGACGTTGCGAAGCATGGCTCGTCGGATGAAAAGATACTGGTGTCCACGGTATATAGCACGGTATATAGAGAACTCTGGTGTCTGCGGTCCACCAGTCTGGGTCCTCTCTCCTCCAGCCTCCATAAGCCGAATGTTACCCTGATTGCCGCTCTCACTACGCTGAGACCCTATTGGTCGGCGACTCCGTCCGGTTCCGCCCTCGTCCGGGCGTCGCACCAATCAGCGACTCCGTTCACCCGGCCCGCGGTAAAAGCGTGGGAGGGAGCCACCGGGCTCTCCCAGTTTCTCACTCTCCGCTGAGATCCCAGTGTGTGCGTCCGTGCTAGTGCCTCCCACACGACGCCAGAGCCATGGACGACGCCGCGGCGAAGCTGCACTTTGCCTCTCTGCTGGGGATGCCGCCGCAGCTCATGTACCCGTTCATGTTTCCGCCGGCGGCGTGCACGCTCTACCGCACGCCGACCAGCTCGCCGTCGTCGAGCCCGCCCGGCTCGCCGGCGCTCGCCGGTTGCGAGGGCTCCCCGCCGTCCAGCAAGTCGTTCACCATTGACGCCATCCTGGGCCTGCGACCGTCGCAGGAGCGCGCCATGGAGCCGCAGCACTGCGCCCGCCTCACAGTCGATGGAGCGACGGACGCGCACAAGGAGAAACTGGGTGAGTGTCGTCGGGGCCATGTGTGCCGGGAGTGGGGTGTCTAGGAAAGGTCTCAGGTCAGGTCGCCGGAGAGAGTACTTAATTGTGCCTGGAAGTGCAGGCGCTGCTTAGTTGGATATTGAAGAAAAGCACTACATAAATCGCCTACTGTCAAGTGAAAATGTTAATCCCAATGCTCTGCCTTGTTACATTAAGGTGCGTTGTTACTGGATATCATTCTGTGAAGAAAAAAGAGGTAGCTGCAAATATACAAGACTTGTCCAACATTTTGCTATAACCCTTGAATATCAGGTGTTGACTTGGTGTTCTTTATTCACGATTAAATACGCCTAAACGAGGTCCATGCTATCAGTGCCTCAGTCCTCTTTCTAATTGTTGATTGTAAAATCGGCATCTTTTTATCATATTTTAAATGCATATTTCGCTGGTTACTTGTCAAGGACTGAGATGGCTCCCTATCAGCAGGGCAGGACCACTAAAGGACCGCCGTTTGGCTATGCTTCCTGGTCAGTGAGTGGGATGGCTCCCTATCAGGTCAGGACCACTAAAGTCCGCCGTGTTTGCTGTCGTAATGTAACTTTGCCATTACTCTACCGGTGCCTTTAATGTACACGTGCCGTTTTCGATTGAACAGCTGCGCCTGTGCTCTGAATCTTCCGAGATAGCGGCTTGTCTATCGCACACATCCATTTCACAACGACCGGCACTGTGTGGCACAGATCGGCCGACCGAAATAAGATTCGTTATATTTGGGCACCCATGCATGTAAAGCTACACATCCAAATACTCATTTACACTTTTGAAACAAAACGGGCAAGATTTATCATTTAGATAACATAGAACAGGTACAGGAGATAAGGTAATGAATTGTAACCAAAAGTAATAAAATAGGGAAGGTTTGTTCTAAACAAGAATAAGGAGCATTAAAATGAAAGTAAAGTTGGTGATTCTAATCTGAACAGCTTATCTTACGGTATGTTATTGAAACACCTTCTTATGACGGAATGTTGCCATTGATTGCTGTTTTTTTCGATCAGAAATTCCAAACGTTAGACTGTATTTTGTGGTGGCTGCTGGAGAAATGCCAATGGTTTTCACCCAAATTGATCTTGTCTTACGGCTACAGGCTAGTGGAGCCCTTTGACCAGCATCTCTCTACTTTGATGGCGTGTGATGGCCCGTGTTCTGACCGCGCCTCCCCCCGACAGGCGCGTCCGGTCGGCGCGTGGGGCGGCCGAAGCGCGTGCGCACCATCTTCACCACGGAGCAGCTGGACAGCATGGAGAAGGCCTTCACCATGCAGCAGTACATGGTCGGCAAGCAGCGCTGCCACCTGGCCAAGACCCTCAACCTGCACGAGAACCAGGTGTGTTTCACAGGTGGTCCTGGTTTGAGCCCCGTGTGGTCTGCTCATCCAGTAGTTATCCCAGACCTTATTTTTTATGCTAACCGGCAATATTTACAATTATCAATGGTTCAACCTGTAATTTTTAATAACTTTTGCCCAATTCGTTTCGCAGGTGAAGGTGTGGTTCCAGAACCGCCGGATCAAGTGGCGCCGTCAGAACCTGGAGCGGGAGCAGGCCCGGCTGGGCCAGCTCTCTCGGCGCTCCGACTCGCCGCCGGCCGGCGCCGGCCGCGAGCTGTCGCAGCTCGAGTGTCCCGCCAGCCCGGCCAGCGCCGGCGACCGCCGCTCGCCGGCCCTGGAGAGCTCGCAGCTCGACCAGCGCCGGGAGCACACAGAGCTGCCGAAGCTCTGTGACCCGCCGGTCGTCACTGAGACGTAACAGCCCATTGAGGCGGCCCGAGAACCCAGGTGGTGTTTGACCGGGACTATGTCTTCCATGTTCTGGTAATCGAGCTAAACTTCGGTCGCCAATATTTCGTCATCAGACATTCGTGTTAAATAAGGCACAGGTTCACAACGTTAATCTTTCCGCTTATCCGATCTTCATACATCTATTGGTCATTTTTTTTCGAGCCTGATGAATTTTTGTCTCTGCACAACACCTTCGACGTAGTTTCGTTGTCTGATGTGTTATTTATTGAGCGTGTTCCTACGAGTGATTGGGCAGCAGCTGTGCCCGCAATGTTCGTGCGTTAGATGCTGATGTCACTTGGTAGAGGTGGGAGCTTTTGGTGTTCGTTTGATCTGTGATAAAGAAGAATGCATATATTCTCGGCATGCAATCTTAGAAATAGATATGGAAAAAGTAAGCCTGAGTCGGTCGTCCGATGATTCAACTTTGCAGAAATGATAGCGTCATAACCGTTTTGAAAACTATTTATTTCTAATATGACACGGACTATGTGCGTACCTTTACCTACAAGATGAAACTTAACATTTTACGTTTGATAGCTTGCAGCAGAAAAGCAAGACCCTATATGTCTGTTACCAGACGGTGCGATATTTTTATTTGAGTCCTCCCTAACGTATAATCTAAACGTGTCGTCAAGTTAAGTCCGTATACATACATTTACGATACGGATATTTCACTTGTGCATGCTCGGTATGTCAGTGGTATCCATTAGCCTGTAAATATTGATCAACATATGTAATATGTATGTGTTATTGTAAGAATACAAGCCCCGATGCATCATCGCTGTGTTTACATCCGATGCCTTGAAAAAAGGACATAATAGCAATTAGGAATCAGTAGACTAGCAGTTCCGAAGTGACCACCGTTGTTACAGCATTGATTTGGCAACATAGTTCCGACGAATGATGGGCTCTTTTTCTAATTGCCTCATGGCTTATGTCCTTTCATTAGATAATTATCTCAATGTTCATCACCTAGAAATGGTGTACAGGAAAATCGGGTCGCGTTTTGCTTGCTTTTTTTGTAAAAGCCTTTTCAACCAAAGGCAGTAGTATTTCTGCCTGCTGCCTGCTGGGGCACCCATCTGCTGCTGGGGCGACCGTCTTTCCTGCCGGAAATTGTCAATGGAGCGCCCCTCTCCTGCTTGGTGAGCCCAGCCTCTGCTTGAGGCGCCCTATTTCTGCTCAACTTTTGCCATGACGCCTCTCTTCCGCTGGGCGTCCCTCTCCTGCTGGAGGAACCTCTCTTCTGCTGGGGCCCCTTTCCGCTGCCGGGGGAAGCTCTTCCGCTCTTCTACCAGTGGCACCATTTTCTTCTTCTACCTCTTTTTTGATGGGGGAGCCCATCTGCTGCCAGGGCGGCCGTCTTCTGCTGGGAAAGGGCACCTCTCTGATCTCTCCTTTTACTGGGACGTCGCTCCTTTTCAGGAGGACACCTCTCCTGCTCAGGGGGATGCCATTCCGCTGCCATGGGCGACCCTCTTGTGCAGAAGGTATCTTTTTCTTCTTGTAATGAGACGCCCCTCTCCTGCTGGGGGGGGGGGGGGAGGGCTGCTGCTAGGGCTAGGGCGATCTGCTGCTAGGGCGATCTGATCTGCTGGAATGGGCAATGGGGCGCCGATCTCCTGCTTGGTGACTGGTGAGCCCAACTTCTGCTGGAGGCAGTGGCGCGGAAACCGGGGGGGGGCCTCAGCTAGTGGGGGCTGAACCCCTCCAACTTTTCGGCTGGGGGGGCTCGTAATGTATTTGAGCCCCTCCAACTGGAGGAATCGAAATAAAAATATACCAACATAATTTCCGGTGTCCAAGTGTCCGGCTTTGAAGGGCACGTTAAACTTTGGCATCTAAATTCTCCCGTTACCCGGAATTGCGCGATCGGACGGTAGGGGTCGGGGTCTACGCAACAAGCTCTGCTTAGCGTGGACTCCGGCTCTGTCAATCCGTCCATTCAAACATTCGAGCTAAATTTATTAAAAAAAAAAATTCATAGCTTCATACATAGGCGCGGGATCCGGGGGGTAGTGGGCGCAGCTTGCGCGTACAACTCTGGGGCCGTGGGGGCGGTGCCTCACAACTTTTCATAAGGCCAGGAACCGTTGGGACAACTTGTCCTCCCCAAATTAGGGGTTGTGGGTCACAAAGGAAGAAGGCATGTAGGAGTGAAGAATCCACCTCTTTCACTGGCTCGGCAACTCATTTGGCAGATTAAAACCTTTATTCCAGGTTGCCAAAACGGTAGTTTCTTCACTCAACTGAGACGGAATTTCTCACTTTTTTGCAAATGTTTTGGTTTATTTTTTTTTTCGTTGAAGAGGCCAAGGTGTGAAAAATAAGTGGCCTAAAACCGGTGAGACAACTAGATTTGGCGGTACCCTAGGTTGATCTCTATTATGTTGTAGCCACCCCCCCCCCCCCACCCCCACCCTCCCCCCGGCAGTCTGAAAGAAGTTCCCGCGCCACTGGCTGGAGGCGCCCTATTTCTGCTAAACTTTTGCTGTAGCGCCGCTCTTCTGCTCGAGGCGCCCTCTCTTGCCGTGGGCTAGGGGCGCCTTTTTCGGATGGGGGGGGGGGGGGGGCGCAGCCCCTGCGGCCCTCCACTGATTCCGCGCCTGGTATTTCAGTGTCATATGAAACGAAAATAAGGGATAAGATAACATAAAATAACACATCTCGCACCGTTGGCGCACCGCAGCGATTCACTTCATCCCGGGATCCTGGGAGGGCCATTGAGCCTCACTAAAGATCACCCTCCCCCCAGGCAGTTATTCCCCCCTTCGGAGATACTTTTACCTTGGGAATATACTCGCGAATATGTAAAATGAGCAGGATAAAACAGATGGTTGGTGACCAAGAAAAAAAGACGTGCTAAAAAAATAAAGAATAAAGATGGCCAGAACATTAGGTGAGTCCAGTAGCTTAAGCTAAGCCTTTTCATGGCTACAGATACAAATTTGCAATGTCAGTATCAAATATCCCGCCACTCCGGGTTCCCATATGCACAGTAGTTAACCGGAAAAAAGCTCTCGACTACTATCGGGAGCTGGATGGTGCATGTCTAGTTATTACACCCACCCGGTATTGGGTTGTAGAGACGGTTCACTTCCAGTCCAGAACAAAGCAAAAACGCTCACCTAATCACCCAGCTAACGCTCCTGCGTGGACCAGTGCATAGAAGGACAGCAGTGCAGCTGCAATGCAGTTAGACTGAGAGGTCTAATTGTGAGCGACGGCCTGGCAAATTCCAGCCGTGAAGTTTGGCGCTCGAGCTGCGCGGAGGCTGACTTGGCAGGCGGAGCGGGTCGGTGCGGAGAAATCGCCGACTAATTGGACCTGGCCGGGGCGCGAGGCGGCGCGAGACGGTCACAAAGGTGTCGCCGTCCACCGGCGGCCTGTCCGTAATGGGGGACGCTCGACTGCACCCTCGGTATGACCGGAGCGGGCGGACCGCCGCCGCCCGCCGACCCCCCAGGTGACCGCGGCGGTGGCCCGAGTCAGGACTAGGAGTCAGAGTCAGAGCGGTCTGACTCGGCGGAGTGCGGGTGGGCGCCGGGGGACGGCGGACCGTACTGTGTGCAGACGGAGTCGCGCCGCGCCGTCTGCGGGCACCGGGTCTCTCGACGGGATACGGGGACACGGTCGGGCCCAGCGGGACACGGGTGGGGTCTCAATGGGCCCTGTCCACCGGCGGACGGCCAACGGGCCGCTAACGGCTTCCGGGCCCGCCCCGCTGCTTTGTGACCACCTCATGAAGACGGGCGCCTCTCGCCCGGGCGGCGTTCCAGGCAGACTCTTTCAAAGAGCCCTGCGAAGTAAGTGAAAATGACATGTCAGCCCCTCCCTTTCCGCAGAACGGGCCGGCGCCGCCCTGTCTCGCGGCCGTCCCCGCACACCTGTGTGACTGGTGACCGGAGGGGAGCATTGCGGTGCCGGCACTGACCCCCCGTCACTGTTCCGCGGGGGGAGGGGCAGTCTGGGCGGAGAGGGTGCGTCATTCCTTTCCGATCGATCACTAGAAAACTCCGGACCCGGCGTGATAGCGAAATTCCACCACCATTCATGACTTAATGAAGTAGAGGTGAAACCAGCATTACACGGGAGGCAATTTTGCTCTGGCCTTCAATTACTCGACTGAATTCGCCCCTTACGTTTCTAAATTCTTTTGATAGTGCACCTCTGAACTCACGACGCATTATAACGGTGCAGTCTATGAAAATGAATGCAGACTAACGTTAAGCAGAACCCCACACACCCTTTACGTTACATGGACAGTTGCCGCCAGTCTCAGCAACGGAAATCGTTTGAGCATCGTCGAGTAATGTCTGCCGTTTGTCACGACGTAACTGCAGGAGAACATCCCTGCTTCTTGAAAACGTATCTTTCCTCTCTCACCTATACACAATTAAAAGCTGCACCATTCAGCAATAAGTGATATGAATATGCAGCAAATGCGAACAGGAAACGCTCTGCTTGAAAATAACAAGCACAGAGGCATGTGTTGTGCTCTGTGCTGTAATCTTGTTAGATGATACGCTACCATCTGAAATAGGCACCTAGGGTTTGGCAAACAGAGACATATCACATAGCTCGATCCAATTTAAATAAGCTTTCTGGTGGCTTTGAACTTTTGTTCTGAGTGCTCACATGTTTATGTTAATTTATGAATGACATAGCTAAATTAGACACATGTAAATAAGACGTGTCATTGAGCCACTTACATGAATTTACACAATGGAATGCACCCAGCTGACAGCCGGGCTCTGTGCGAGTGGTTAATCGTAACTGCGACCGGGCTCCCGCCGGGCCATTTGATGTGATTTAATCTCCTCACTCTACATTCAGTGCACGCCCGCCACCACGTCAGAGAGTCGACGTCTTCCCACATCGGACTGAGGTTGATTGCTCCGGTGGCTGACAGGCCGTGACAAACATTGAGAGAAATATAACTGGTAGAAATGATAACATAAATAGCTCCGTCATGTGGACAATGGTATTTCAGACAAGGGGCCTCGAATCGAAAGGCAAGCAAGGGAGAGAGAGAGAGAGAAAGAGAGAAAGAGAGAGAGAGAGAGAGAGAGAGAGAGAGAGAGAGAGAGAGAGAGAGAGAGAGAGAGAGAGAGAGAGAGACTAGAGAAAGAGAGAGAGAGAGAGAGAGAGAGAGAGAGAGAGAGAGAGAGAGAGAGAGAGAGAGAGAGAGAGAGAGAGAGAGAGAGAGAGAGAGAGAGAGGGATGGATAACAAAACTGGGAAAGAGGACTTGTACTACTGCACACCACCATACCATATCATATGGAACACTGCGTGCCGATTGTTTGAACTGTATAATTACGAGCGAGCGAGCGTAGCGAGCGAAGCGAAGTCTTTGCAATATAACGGAAAAATCTCAGTATGAGCGGCCCGGCCCGGCCCGGCCCGGCCTGTAACGCTTTTGAGAGGCTTATATCTCAGCAACCGCTGAGCCGAATGACCTGTGGTCTTTTTTGCTGGGTAGCCCCATCCCTTCTACCCCGTAATTGACTACTTTTGATACATCTCAGTGACCGCCGTGGCACGTGCCACGTGAAAAGTCAAGGGTGTTCAAGCAGTTTTGCAAAATTAATGATTTTGAGAGGCCCATATCTCAGCAGCGGCTTGAGCGATTGTCTTGCGGTCATTTTTATAGGGTAGCTGCATCCCTTCTACCAAAGCACAGTGGGGATTTTTCCGATCTAGCGCCTATTAATTCAAAAAATATTTTTTGGATTTTTGTTTATTTTTTGTGTCAGTAGGGCTAAGAAATGTCTGA